TTTTATTTTGAATAGGCCAGCCCACCTAGCTCGCAGTCCCTGACGGAGTTGAGTCGTGCTGCCATTTTACATGCCCGACCCGCCCCCGAAAACTGTGTTTTGGCAGGCTACTGAATAACCCACCCTGCCAATCTGTTTTTGACATGTCTAACCGACTAGTGTATTCGATATTATTTCACTTAGGGTGATTCAAATCCACAAGCTATCTATTATAAATTAATTTCAAAGTTAGTGTATCTCAAAAAAGCGAGTGGCTGTCTGCATCTGTTTTATAAATTTGTTAGGTAATAGATTACTAAATATTGTACAATTTTGAGAAAATCTTTCGAAAAACATATCATATTCTTCTTTACCTTTATTTTCACTTACAAAATTATGTACACGGATTATATTATGTAATATCACCAAATGCTAAAAGATTATATAGATTAATCAAAATTAAAATATGCGAACGTTGAAGAAAAGATATGATGCACATACATATATAGTAGTAACAACTGAAAAGTTATCTTGTATCAATTTTTATATTAAAAAAAAAATGGGTCTACATATAATATGGAACAACTCAATAATTACCCGTAATGTTGTTGGTTTCCAAATAGAAAGTTAAAAAAACTCACATCCGCATAGAATTGAATAAATTGATAATTTATGTCAATATGTTGTGAATTAATTTTTTAAAAAAAAGACATATATATTTACGTGTACATTATATTAATTATTTCCTTTCTAACTAGATACCCAAAGATGTGTTGCAAATTTTATTATCATATTCTAAATTTGGTATCATTATCAATTATTATTATATTTCTAATTCACAATTATTTTTTAAAATTATTTATTAGATTTTAAAGGTGGAAAATTAAAAATAATTTGGAATTTCTATAATTAGTAAAATAACAATTTTAGGCTAGATTTTTTCTCATTATTTAAGGTAAATCTTTAGTCCCTTTTTATACTAATAGATATAGATATAAATCCATTCATAGGTGCACTGACATCTGTTTTAATATTAAAAAAGATACATCAAAGCATAATATCTTCAATATGGTATATAAGTTGTGCGATTCAATGAAATACATTAATTTATTAAAGAAATGTTCCATCCTTTTTTTACCTACAAAGATTTTACTAAATTTTCCAAACATTGTGTATTTTTAATTTTTAATGGTTCGAGCTTTAGATTTTTTAAGAAATAAATAAATTAATCGTTTTATTAATTGATTAACGTAAGTACATAGTTTAAACAAAAACAGTCAAGTTTCTCAAAACTTGATAAAGATTTCAAATTAGATAAACACAAATATAGGATAAAGGATTTTCAACATATTAAGAAGTTGAAAGTAGAAAAAAAAAGGAAAAAAATAAAGAATAATGATGAGATGATATAAACATTAGAAAATTATAAAAAAAATTTAAGAAGTATGAAAAAAGTGAAGACTCGTCTAAACATTTTTTTTTAAAAAAAAAAAAAAGAAAAAAAGAGGACATGGATAAATCCTTCCTACTATTTTAATTAAATCCTTAGCATTTTTATATTAATNATTGCATGAGTAAACTACCAACATTCATCACATTAACATGTTAACAAATAACTGCAACTATCCTATGGAATTTACACGATGATACCAATACTACACTTTGGCAATACTATGACAGCTTGAAACAGTAGAAAAGGAAAATAAAAGAAAATACTGAAAACAAAAATAAAATTAAAAACACAGACAGAGGTGGTGTTCTGAAACTGTAGTTCCTGTAATTTATGTGTCCGAATTACATATAAAAAGAACCGAACAATAAATGTCATCATATTATTATTATGAAAAAAATAGAAAGCAAGTAGAATTCATTCATACCTTGGACTATCTCATTCACTAAGAAAACAAACAACTCCAAAGAAGAAGAGTTTCTTAATTAACATGCTACAACTCAAACATCAATCGATGAACAATGCTACCTTTTTCCACCTCCAACACCTTACTCTGCTTATTCCACAAATGAACTGCAAAACTCTGCCTCCTAATCTCTCTCACCTTCCCACCAATCCACTTCGAATGACTCGAGTTCTTCGGCCCCTCGAAAAGCCCTCTGATCTCCCTCCAACCCACCGGATACAACGCCTCGGGGGGCAAAACCGTAAAATCGCAACCGACATCCCCACTCGCCCTCATAGCCACTCTCGAAACCAAATACGGCCCGTTGTGGCCCCACTTGTCCCCATCGAACGTGCGCGCGAATTCCTCGATAAATTTCACAAGAAGCGGATGTCCCCTTTTGAAAATCATCACGGCATTGTTCAATCGGCTCCATTTTCGCGTGACGCGCTCGACAGCTTGCGCTCCGATCACGTTCCTAAGCTTCCGGAAGCTCTTCAAGACGATCACATCAGTGTCGAGATAAACGCCCCCGAAATGGTACAACACCGCTAGCCTGACGAGATTCGAGAGGTTTTGGCCGAAGGAGATGCGCCCGGGGTTTATCTTGCCGTGCTTTAGACTGTTGTACCACGCACGGGCCGCGGTTTTACCGAACAAGTAGTTGAAGTCGGGCGAGATTGCCGTGACTTTGAGGCCTTTTTCGGCGAAGGGAGTGAGGATTCGCGCGCCTTTTTTCGTGTCCATTGATCGGGACACGATGACTAGGCACCCGTTTGGATGTGCTTTGAACAAACTCTCGATGGAGAAAATGGATCGATTTGTGAAGGAGTCGAGTGAGGAGATCCAAATCATGAAGAAACGGAGCTCGCATGATGATGAGTTGGCGTCGAAGAAGAAGTTGGACACTCGAGATTCGAAGTTTTTCGAGACGTCCTCGGACGACCTTAGAATCTCCAAAGCGCGCCTTTGATTTTTCCTTCTTTTCGGGCTGTAAACCGTGTTTCGGTTTTCCGGCATTACAGAGTTTTTATCTTCAAGCAAAAGCGGTTTTTTCTTGCTTGAGATTTCTTGCTTTGATGATTGTTCCAAAGGCGGAGAGGAAAGGGGTTTGGTTTTTCCGGCGACATTTTTTGTTAAGAAAGTGTTGGTCTCCGGTGGAGATTTGGCCGGAACAGGGATTTGGGTGCAGAAGATGTTGAAAATGTTGTAAGCTAAAAGATAGAGGAAAAGAATGGAAATCAAACTGTACAGTGATCGCATGCTTATCTGCCGGTAATGAAGAAGGTACAATAGGAAACTTGTAATATTTTCCATAATGTAATAAAAAGTTGTACCAAGTCTAATGTTTTTCTCCTATGGTATATGAAGAAGAATGAAAGGACTGCTAGTTTTTTCCCTGTTTCGTTTCTTTTTATGTTGTTTTCTATTTGTATTGCTGCAAGGCACCGGTTTTCTAGATAAAGAACAGAATTTTTATGCCTATAAGTTATGTAAATGTGGACTATGAACTTTGGTACTTGGGGCATGTGAAATTAGTTGCAATTTATTATTATTATTTTGGGTATTTTTTGCCCCTTTCGTCTTTGAACAGATGAGTTTTGCCTGCAAGAAAGATTAATTTCTACAGAAGAGAAAAAGATGGAGCTTGCTGTCTTAACTTAATTTTTGACGCGAAGTTATTTTATTAGTATGATACTGTGATAGGTTAACAGAAGAAGGTTTAATCTTGTGTTAGAAGAAAAATATATCTTGCAATCAAATATTATTCCTTTTTTTTTTCTCCTAATATTTTGTGTTTAGTCATGACTCAAAATAATTGTATAATAATTTATGGATAAGATATCAATTTATCATAAGCAAATTCTCGAATATTGATTCGTAGTTAATTCCTAACTAGTATAGTACCCGTGCGATGCACGGGACTTTATTATTTTCGTGCTTTTTAAAAGCCGATTTTGTATTTAAATTGGAATTATATAATAAAGCACCGATCATTGATTATAATTAAACTTAACAAATACTTATTATAAGATACGTGTAATTATTTATATTAATCATGTTGGACTTGTAAAATAATAACGTTTTTGAAAAATGTTGGCTTCCAAAAATTCATATCGGCCCAAACAATGTTGGCTTCGAAAGTTCATATCGGCCCAAACAAAGTAGAAAAAATAATTCAATGATCCAGATTAGTCAACGGAAATCGACAGTTTAGATTACACTGAACATAGTATCACTAGTGAAATTATTGGACCAAGGGCTTCATTTATTCCTTCATTTTTTGCCGCTTCCAGCTTCTTTTTTCGTCTTTTTTCATCGATCTTCCAACTTTTCCGTTCTAACACTGAGGGCCTTATAAATACATATTCTCTTTTAGTTTTTATTTAATCGATGCTTTAAATTAATTTTAGGTGTTTTACACGAAACAAAATATGGATTGTTCAATTTGAGGGTTTTTATTTTTGATTTTTATAGTTTTATGTTGGAATTTTTTGGTTTTAACAATTAATCAAAAGAATCCTTCTAATTTGAGTGTGCGCCGGTAGATTTTATTAATTTTAGTTTTTTTGTCCGAAAAAGAAATGTGGAATTTTTAATTTTAAGGTTTTTATGTTCAATTTTTGTACTTTTATGTTCGGATTTTTTTTTTTGTGTTTACGATTAGTCAAAAGAACTCCTAGAATTTGAGTGTGTGTTGGTAGATTTGTTATTTTTTTTCCGTAAAATTATTTTGTTACACAAAATTTTTTGACATTCAAATGATTTTTTTCTTTTAAAACTCAACTCGACTGAAAACATACAAATCTGACAATTAATTATGTGATATCATTGATTTTGATGAATTGCACATAATTATTATGGGTTATGAACTTGCAAGTTTTATTTGCCCAAATTAATGAATGTTGATATCAATTAATTTTAAAAAGAATTGGTATTGAAATAAAACAAATTTTTAAAGCATTATTTGTATCAAAATTGAGCAATTTGGTTACCAAAATTAAGTATCCGTGATTGAAGGCATATTTAAATGTTTCTCATTTAATAAATAAAAAATAAAACAAAACTTGCCGAAATGGTATGCAATTAATGTTGCCAGATTTTTCTTCTTACTATTTTTGATAAATAGTAATTCTTGTTATATATATATAGATATAGATATAGATATAGATAGGCATTTTGTTAAGAAAAAATATCTAATTGTTGGGCAATTTCTAAAAGTATATAGTTTTTAATAAGCAACTTTAAAGAAAAATCTAATAGGTAACGTAAACTTTCATTTTTAAAAATTATTTTTATGGTAAGTAATTTAATTCGATTTTGAAAAATAAAATTTGTTCATTGTCTAAATCCTAATAATATGGTCCAAAATTGCAACAAAAAAAGGCCCTTTGGTGGAGAGCTGCTAATTAAATGCTAGTTCGTTTTAATTTAACTCCACCAAACTAATTTAATGAAAACATGTGAATGCACAGGTTTATTTGAAACAAATGCTAGCCATTATTAAGTATTTCACTCAACTATGAACTATAATAAGAAATGGCAAGCGAATGAGGAGCAAACGTTGGTTAATACAAGTATGGATCTGTCTTAATTAAACCAATTACGCATTATATTTTTAAGCATCAACGCACCACGATCTCCTTACTATATACGTTGACCTCAATTAAAAATTTAAAAAATAAAAACAGGTTTATTCTATTATTAAATATCTTAGAAGGGAATCTCATTTGCAATTTATGTTTAGACGTCGACTAATCACGTGTGATTAACCTAACCACACAATTTTGACTAAATTTACACTAAAAAAAATGAGCAGCTTCAATTATTAAAATATTATATTTGATCCAAAATAGTTCGGTGGATTGGCTAAGAGTAGTCAGCTCGGATCGGGCCGATTCAAATGAGCTTAAGCTCAGTAGCAGCGTTCTAACCTAGTGAGGGAGCTCGTTGATGCAGCTCAAGATACTGGTCGACCTGATAAAAGTTGTCTGTGGGTCAGGGACCTCTAGGAGCTCGATTACACGAGTGACCTCGTGGCATGGAGGTCATAAAGATAATGGTCGGGGTATCGACCTAGTACACATCGATGGCAGGTAGGTTGAAGAAAAGTGTATCTCAATAAGATCTATAGGCATGGTAAGTTTGGAGAGTAGATTTGTTACATCTCTTTTCTAAAGATGACTCTCTTGGTTACTACGCTACCCTCTTTAAAAGAGAGATCATGTTATATGTTGTACTATCATTACACATATACGCATTACTTACAATACAATCTTATACACCCTCGAGCATATACTGACTTGAGCATTAGAGAGTTTATGTCAGGCTCCTCCCGGCGCATTGAAGGTTATTGGAGCTCGAGATCGGTGTTCGTTCGTGTTGTTGTGGTCTAATCCAGTTCAAGCAAATTTGCATATCACATTGGCGCCGTATATGGAATAATCTACTCTTTTACCAGCTATAAGGGACTAAATTGGTTGTTTTCATAAAGGATTTCAAGAAGCTTGAAGATCATGGCAGGCGATACTTCTAAGAAGGATTTAACTGAGGAGTTTGATGAGGCATGGACATTCCGGGTGATAGGGACAGGTCCTCCATCGGGCTGGTCAAACTCGATGGACCCTCTTGTCATGCCTCAAGAGACGTTACCAGCACTCCACACTACGTTGACTCTGGTGTCGAAATTATCAGGAGGACCTCCAGCGAGGTAAGAGCCAACAATCGTTCAAAAAGAGACGGGAGTGCAAGAAGTAGGAAAATAGACTGTTGCCCAAGGTATCGAGGTGAAGCAGCAAAAAAAATTGGAGGTTAAGGGACAAGAGATCCTCAAGGGAGACCAGGTTATCCAGCTCAAATAACTCTTTAAGGGTACTTCAACTTTTTTTTAAAATTTGAATGTATTAATTATTTTTAATTTGTAATTTATTATTTCTATCACAATAGCCTCAGAATAATGGGATATTAATGACGCATCATTCCGTTGTGATAACTGCAGTGCTAGATTTAGTCGGTGTTAAAAAAATAAAATAAAAATACACTAAGATTGGCCTTTTCTCTTTTCCCAAATAAATGATGATCAATACAGTTGGGCCCACTATATCAGGTCCGTTTAGTTCGGCCCACTATAACAGGCCCGTTTACTATCTTCCATCGCTGTTTCAAATGTTATTCACAGCCCAAGAAGTACAATGTCCACACAATTAGAAAAACCAAAATCACCTTTTCTTTATTTCCGCTCATGCGTTTCCTCCCCGCAGCACATGGCGCAATGGCTGCCATATTCAAGATTATTCCATCCCAACTAGCCGACTTTTGAATTGCACAAAATGTATCGGCCTCTTTCTCTCTCCATATATATATAAGATAACCTGCGGCTACTCGCCTGAAAATTCTACCTTCTGCAGGTGCTGGTAGCAAACCCTACCCTGCACCGACTTCCCGGCGAACTAACCTGCGTTCCGATTGAGAGATCCGAAATAATCGACCTCCCCTCTTCGGTTTCTGGTGATTTTACTCATAAGTCAACATGTGAGATTCTCATTTCTCTTGCTTTCCTTTTCGGGACTTCGTATAATCGGAAGTGGTTTGTAGCAAATTCCCCTTGTGTTAATTATGGTGTGTCTTGTGGTGGTCAATTTGATTTTCCTGGGATGTGAGATTGATTTTGGTGTCTTAACTTGGGAAATATATCCTTATCTGATCGTAAAGTTATTTACTTCGTTGGGAGCTTGTTTTAACTGGAAAGTGGGAACGGTGGCCAATTGATTTTCCTGGGATGCGATGGTAATTTTGGTGTCTTAACTTGGGAAATTATATCCTGTGGTGATTGTAAAGTTAATTACTTTTGTTGGGAACTTGTTTAAACTGGGAAGTGGCAACTGTCTTAAAGCTGTTTCTTGATTGGTTCTGCATATAATTTCATCTGTTATGACTCAGAGGGTCGGGAAGTTGTTTAAACTGGGTAGCCGGATCTTTGATTGTTTCCTTGGTCCAAAATTTGTGTATTCCCATGTATTTAAGATGTTGTATGAACCTCATGTGGTTTTTCTGCATTTTTTTCCGGGAAGTGTTAGATATTTGGTGCTTGTTTGGGAGCACTTCTGAAAAAGTCCATTTAAGAAATGGACTTATCCAAAATCGGCTTCTCCAAATATTTCCATCCTTCACTTCTACAGTAGGGACTTTTTGGAGAAACAAGTTACCCATAAGTCCATTCTTAATTTATCACCAAACATAAATATTTATCCAATGGACTTTTGCATCCAAAAATCCATATGAAACGTGTTTCCAAACACATTATTAGCTTCTTGGTCCTTGTTGTCCAAACGTGTGCTTTTGATTGTGGGTCCTTGTTATTGTTCTAACTTGTGATTGCTTTTACTCTAATCTCTGTTGTAAAGTCTGTTGCAGTGTTATAAAATGCCATGGTCGTCGCTATGGCGGGATTTTGGTCTGCCATTCCTGCCATTCGCCATTAATAACACTAGTATGTTGAAATTGAATGTTTTGGGATTCGGTATAGAAGCCTATTTCGTACTGTCCATACTTTTTCCAGTTTTAAAGTCGTTTGATGTCTTGAATATGTATTCCCATGTTTGGTTGGTGGATGTATAACAAATGAATTGACAAAGAACTAGTTAAATGGTAATACCTTAATTATGTCTGATCCAACTGTGTGAAAAATTCTGTTTTGTTTGCGACTTGGTGACAGTAGTATAATTTTGTTTGTCTGTTATGGATCATCGCTCTGTGTTTTATGCTTCCAGGAGATGTTCAAACTAAGGAACTGAAAAGAAAAATGTGGTAATACGTTGGTTGTAATCCTCTATTGAAGGCTGCTGATGTTAATCACTTCTTAATAGAATCTTTACCTACTCGGGGAAAAAAATTCAGTTCGTAGCCAAAATAGTGCATTGTCGAGTCATGAATCACATGTTTTGAAATGATTTTTGTTTTATAGCTGAGATTAATAATTACTGTGTGTGTTTATTGTCTGATTTGTTAAGCTGTCCTGCCTAGTCTTCATTTGTGTATTTATACAAAGAGTATAGCACTAACTGCCTCTGTTATCTGAGTTTTTGCTTGTGGCTGGTAACGAGCGAGGTATTATTGATGTCATCATCAATGAGTAGAACAAGGAAGAATTCCAAGTTAATTTGTTAGGTTTTGTTTTGAGGCTGTTTGAGGAGTTCATGATGTCAATTATGACCGTTAATTTCATCAATCGTGCCAAAATGAATATGACAGCCATGAAACTGTTTTGCATTTAACTTCTACATACTTAATCTATTNAAAAAAAAAGAAAAAAAGCGGCTTTGATTACTTAATTGTTTCACAGGATATTGATTACTCAAATTTTTGTAATCAGCCAGTGTAAATCATCCGGCATGTAATTTATTTACTCACTGCAGCACTTATGTGCATACTATGTGAAAGCTTCTCCCCGTTTAGCAAAAAAGCAAAGATTTTCTGATCATATTACACCCCTTTCAAATATATTTTAAACCCTTGTTTAGCAAAAAAGCAAAGATTTTCTGATCATATTACACCCTTTCAACCATATTTTAAACCCTTATTGCGCCAAAATTATTTTCGGTTCTTCAAATACTGTACTTCACATCCATCAATTGTCCTACATACTGACAATTTAGTAATTTACGCTTCTTTTTCTTATGTGTAGATCTAAACAAAAAAAAAAACATGCCTAGAGACAGAAGAGACCGTTCCTTATCCCTCGACACATCATCCCAACTCTCCCCTTTCCCCTTCACCTCCTCCGACTCCTCCTCCAAACAATCCCTCCTCGACAACACCAACCTATGGGAGGACGCCAGGTGTCCCGTCTGCATGGAGCACCCCCACAACGCCATCCTCCTCATCTGCTCCTCCCACGAAAAGGGCTGCCGCCCCTTCATGTGCGACACCAGCTACCGCCACTCCAACTGCTTCGACCAGTTCCGCAAATCCTCCTCCACGCAGCCCGAACCCGAGCCCGAGGCCCAACAAAAGCCCAATCTAATCTGCCCACTCTGCCGAGGCCCGATAACTGGTTGGGCCGTGGTGGAGCCCGCCAGGCAGTTCATGAACGCCAAGTCACGAAGCTGCGCGTGCGAGTCTTGCGACTTCAGCGGGACGTACAAGGATTTGAGGAGGCATGCGAGGTCCGTGCACCCGCAGGTGAGGCCTGCTGACGTGGACCCTGAGAGGCAGCACAGCTGGCGGAGGCTGGAGAGGCAGAGGGACCTCGGGGATTTGCTGAGTAGTCTTCGTTCGTCTGTTGTGGGGGAAGAGAGGAGAGGAGAGGAGGAAGGTGGGTTGACTGTGGAGGAAGGTGGGTGGTTGACCGTTTTTTTTCTGGTGAGGTTTATTGGACCGCGGAGGAGTTCGAGGGGAAGGTCGTCGGTGAGGAGGCTGTGNAAAGTGAAGTTTGTGGTACTGTGTTTTAATACTAAATGTGAATTGTTGAGTTGAGTGAATGAAGACGGGGTACTACTTACTTGGTTGGGTGTTTTTATATGAATTAGTGCAGAGTTTATGGTGAAGTATTGGAATTTGTGTTGTGTACAAATGGAAGTATTTTCGCAAGCCACAATCTTGTGGTCTGATGGAAGTATGAGAAAATATTGAACTGCATGCGTTTTCAATTAAGACTAGTACAGAGCCCGTGCGATGCACGGGGTGCATAATTTTAAGGCTATTTATCCAGACTTATAATTATATACATGTATACAGAAAAATGTACGGGATATATATAGTACAAGGCACGGGATATATTTATTTAAGGAATAATATATTATAAGATGCAATATTCAATAAAAAGTTTAATAATAATAATATATTATAAGATGCAATATTCAATAAAAGTTTAATAATACGCAGAAAAATTGTACAATAAGATAGTATTCGACAAACAAACAATATATATTATTAAAGACCTCCTTGTACACAACATTATGAGTTTGATTTTTCATACAATAATAATACGATTTTTTGTAAAAAGATAAGAAAGAATTTTCAATCTACACAAACTTTAAACATTAGATGTATTTACGTAAATCAATGACTATATAGACAACTAAACCCTTCAATTTAGGCTTGACATCTACTTTATTTATGGGTGACGTAAAATAAGAATTTAATTTTGACCGATTAAATCTTTATTCATAGGCTTGACATATAAAACTGATTTGATGGGATTTTCTTAACTAAACCGATGCTATGGGATAAAACAAATCTATACTTACCTTTCCAGCAAAGGTAAAAAAATCGATTCTGATTTTTATCCCATAACAAATCTTTAATGTCAAGCCTATAAATACCAAAACAAATCTGTAATTAATATCATTCTATTTCCAGCAAGCATTAATTACCTTTGACTTTTCTGCCTACTATTTCTAATAAATAGGATGACTTTTTATATAAGTATAGATTTCATATAATGCAAAGACTGAGATCATAAAAAAGAATCCTAAAAACTGAAACAATATATTTGCATAATTTAAAGCCATTAAGAAATCGATCTCTAAATCAGATTTGATTTTCATAATATGTTTTTTTTTTATTTCGAATTCCATACAAAATGGAATTCTTTACAACCAATAGATGTCATAGCAAATATTAACTCTTAATTATTAGACTATTAGTACATACCGAGCAAATTGTGTACTGATTTTAGAAAGTTAAAATGACTCATGTTAGGTAATTTTACATTTTATGCATGTTGAAAGGTGGGTTTTAAATATTGTTTCATAAAATGTAAAAGTGTATTATATTATTTTTATGAGATGTTGAATTTGAAAATTAATAGAATTCTTCTTCATAGGAATTTTAAATGTAACAATATTTTTTGGTATACACTACTAATAAAATCTGTATTTAAAGTTTATATTTTTTTTTACCGGAAAAAATTCCTTAATTTAAGGAATCATATATTTTCAATCAGTCCACATCTATATACATTCTTTTTTTTTTTTNAATTTTTGCTATATTTTATTTTTTTCCCGAAACGACAGAGGTACTATATTAATAAAACCGCACAAAGTGCGAAAAGAAAGCAGCCAAAGGCTGAATAGTACAACCAGAGACTAGAAAACTGGGAGGCAGATCCGGAGATCGCCTAGAGCCGACCCCAACAAGGTAATACTCGGAAAAACACACTAAAAACACAACCAAACTAAATCAACTACACAAACAAAACGAAAAAAGATCCCAACGGGATAATACCCGAGTGTCTGATCCCAACAGGATAATAAGTTGACACTCGGGCTCTCACAGAGGCAACTGCCCAAACTAAAAACACAAGATTGAAAACATAACGCAAACAAACTAAAAACAATCCTAGAACAAGCAAAAAACAACTAAAATTAAAGAACAACAGCCCTCCCTCAGCAACGCATCCGGAATGAACAGCGGACATAAACCGATCCCAAAGAGATGCAAAGCACAGGAACCACACCCGCCACTGCCTAAAACCTAGCAAGACGAAGACCCAAGCTCCGAACCAAACTAGAGGACCCGACCCGCACTCCGACCGTAAGCTGCCACAATCCCCTCAACTGGCTAACACCACTAGCCAATACCAACACTGATCCGGACCCGACTAACACCACTAGCCAATTTCCGAAACGGTGGGCCTCCCTATGACTCAACATCGGAGGAAAAGGGATAAATCTTGAATTTGATGAGAATTCGTATCTATGAGTGCGAAATATGATTTAACAAATTAATTTTTTATTATTATTCCAGCCATACTTCTTTATACGATTTTTTGTGAAAATACAAAAGTAAATTCTTAATTTTAAATCAGCGGTACATTAAAGAGTACAAATTTGTTGAAATTACAAAAGTAGTTTTTTACTTTTAAACAGACTTAAATTTAAATCAGTCATAAAAAAGTAATATTTGTTTACCATTTAAATATTAAATCAATCGTAATTAATGTTGTTTGTTTTAGTTGCCACGATTTTCTCCAAACTAAATTAACAACTGCCATGATTTAAGGGCAACATTTAATGTTAATCTATTTTTAGGAGACATTAAATATATTTGGCGGGAAAAGCTTGCTAAAAGTGTTAAATGGTTAATCTTTTAATATAATGAAAGATTTTTGTCTTAAGAAGAAAAACGACCAAGTATACATTATTAGACCCCCATGATACATTATTAATATTTTTAGTCAATTGGAATTATTATTTTTATAACTATATAGTTTAAAGGTTCCTACATTGCCTTATTAAATAAAAGGGTGGAAGTTTGTTCAATTTTAAGCATTACTTATTAACCAAAGAAAAGAAATATATTATATGAATTGTATTGAAAGTTGAAACAGGTTAAAAGAAATATATTATATAATGAATCTATACTTATATAAAAAGCATCTTATTTATTACAAATAATAAGCAGAAAAGTTAAAAGGTAATTAATGCTTGCTGAAAATAGAATGACATTAATTACAGATTTATTTTTGGTATTTATAGGCTTGACATTAAAGATTTGGTATGGGAAAAAAACCAGAACCGATTTTTTTACCTTTGCTGAAAAAGTCAAAGGTAAGTATAGATTTGTTTATATTATCAAATCATAAAAATATATTAAATCCATATTGTAAAAAAAAGTAATTCATATAATTTTATAACAATTCTACTACACTATTTAACAGTATTCCTTTTTATTATATAATAAAATAATAATTAAATATTATATGGCGAACAACAATAAGTAAAACTGTTACTTTTTCTTATATCAAGAGATAAATTTATATGTAAAATTAAATTTTTATTAGTATAAATGTTTTAGTGAGATAATACATTAATTATTTTACAAGGTAGCCCTAACATGTTCATATTTAATATTCTGGCTAAAAAAACAATGCTGGTTAAAAGATGTGGAAAAAAAACTTATAATAACCTTATTGTTTTTTAGACTTAACGTTGATTAAAAGATGTAGAAAATAGATAATACCCTATTATTTTTTAGACTTAAACGGACAAGACTGTGAAAATAACTCATTTAATAACTCTGTCACGTGCATCGCACGGGGTACGTACTAGTTGTATTGAAAGTTGAAACATATTTTATAAGTGATATAGGATATTATACTGGATCGGGTTTAATGCATATAAAGGAAATATATTGAAGAATAAGCCCACACATGGCTATGACACGTGGCATGATGCTATTGGACAAGCCCAACTTGGGCCTTAAGGTACACTCCTCCTATAAAAGGGGACTAAGATATACATTCATAATTATACTTTTGGGATTTGGAGTCTTAGAGTGATTCTGACTTGAGCGTCGAAGGCCCGACGCCGGGACCCCTCCCAGCGTTGGGTTCTTGCAGATACGGAGGCCGTCCGAGTTGAAGGAGCCCGAGTGAAATCTTGTTCACTCCATTGGCGTCGTCTGTGGGACCCCGTTCGAAAAGCCAAACGGTGTTCCGATTGAAAAATTATGAAAATCCTCCTTCGACTTAGCTGGCCAAAGTGCTTGGATCGTAAAAATGTTTACGTCAACGAGTAGATCTCGTCGAGGTAAATCTCCCCTAAAAATCTCATTTGAAAATTCATCCGGGAAGGCCGTCAATTTTGTCGGTCAATATTTTCGGATCTAAGAAATTCCGGTTAACTCTCAACCTTCAAATCAATTTTCCCGGTGATCCGTGATGGCTACGAAAAATCTGGAAGCACCATTGGAATCCTCTCAACGAGAAGAATCTACAGTAACTGACCCCCGCCGCCGCCGCCGTCCGCCGCCGGTCATAGTCCTCCGATCGGAAAAATCTCTACATCACTGTGGAGCTCTCGTCTTGCTCGTTCTACCCTTAAAATTTCGCGCAAGGATAACGCCGGGAAGACCATCAATTTTGCGGTCAAAGTTTGTGGATCTTAGAGATATTTGGTCAAAATCCGGTTGTCTTCCCCTATTTTCTGTTGGTTTCAGGCGACTCTCTTTGAAACGATGGCACCACCAGGACCACCTCGTAGAGGGGCGCGCAAGGACGTCTACTTTCGCCGGATACAGCAAGATTTTCCGGCAGCGGACTCCTGGATATTTTCGCCGGAATAGGGTCAGGTCCGCTCGGAGCTTTGTAGCTCGTCGTCCTGCTTGTCGGAGTATTTTGCAGGTCAGCTCGAAGGTCTGTCAGTCAGCTCGAGGTCCATCGCCGCTCAACCGGACTGCTCGGAACCCTTCGCTAGCTCGAATAGATTGCACGTCTACTCGAAGCTTCTCGACCACCTGATGTGCTCGAAAATCCGCCGTACAGCTCGATCAGATTGCAAACTCGTTCGAAGTCCCTCGACCGGGACAATTTTTTCGCCGGAATATTCTCGCGACTGCTCGAAGTTTCGTCGTGATTCGACCAGGTCCAAGGTTCAAGGTCCGTCGCTCGTATGACCAGATTTGCAGATATGCTCGTAATTTCATCGCGTTCGCCGGTCTGCTCGAAGATTGCTCGACCAGACTGAAGAAAGCCCACTTTCTATTGCAGCCCAACCCCTCATGAGGCCCAACAATGATGGAGGCCCATCAGGAGTGGCCCAAGGCGAGACCCAGCACCCCCAGCACGCGGGCCGCGCCCAGCCCGCACGGCCCTCTCCCCTCCCAA